AGGAGGAGGAGCGGGGAAGGACCGACGGGAGGTGGGCCCGCCGCTGGCCAAGTCCGCCGGCTGGCCAGGCCACCCAGGGCTGGCTCGGCCTCGCCGGCTGCAAGAGCGCGTCCCGGGCCGCCGCCTACTCCATGGTCCACGCGCGGGAAGCCGGGCAGAGCCGGGGCCGAGTCGGGGCCGAGTCGGGGCCGGAGCACGCGGGGAGCCCCAAGCGAGCTGGAGCGAGGGCTAGCGCACCCCTTTCCGCAGCCTGCAGCGACGGCAGCTGCTGGGCCCGGGGCGCGCGGACGGGGTCGCCGCTGATGGGGGCGGGGGAGGGCAGGCGGGGGTCGTGCCCTGGACGCAGCCGGCGCTGGCTGGTCGCAGCTGGGCGAGGGGAGCGTGAGGAGGAAATGAGGAGGTGAGGAGCCTTGTGCACAGTCCTTTCTTGCTGGGGACGGGGTGAAGGGGGCGGCCCGGGGGTCCACCTCTCAGGGCACACACGTGCAGCCAACAGGTGAGGGTCTCTTCAGCCTCCCTCCAGCTTCCCAGAGAGGGTGCGCCGCGGGTGCACTTAACTGCCCATGCCCAGCCACCAGCCTCGCCTCCTCCTGCGGGCCTCCTGGGTTTCCCCCCTAATGCCTCTTGAGGGGAAACCCCTGCGTGAACAGGACTTCCTAGAGGCTGCATTGCTCGCTGGGGTGTCCTGGCTCCCCCATCTGGCTCGGACTCACACTTCACTCCCCGATCCTGCTGGACCAAGCCCCATGCTGTGGCTGAGAGGAGGAGGACAGCTGGCAGCATCCCTGGGAGAGGTGAATCGAAGGACCATGGCCAACCGTGGGAGGGGGCTCTTGTCTTTCTGCAGGGAGCATTAGTCTGCTCCCCCGTCCCCCTGCCTCCAGCTCCTCTTCTGCCTCATGCCCCACCCCACCCCACCCCCCGCCCCAGTGACTGTGTTAGCTGTTCTAGAGTCTGGACGGCCCACAGCCCTGTAGAAGGTACCCTTCTGGAGAGGACATCGAGTGGTCCCTGCCTCAGCACTCCCTTTCTCCGCGGACTGCCCTGCCTCCCTGGTGCCTCCCTAGGGTTTCTGGCAGGAGATAAGGTAGTGCCCCAGAAGGCCTTTGTGGTGGGGCTTTAAAAAATGGGTTGTTCCGAAGAGGATTCCCTGGGAAGGAGGTGCCTATCTGGGTGGCTGTCTCCAGTGGAATCCAGTGACAGCAGGGAATCCAAGCTGCAGGACGTCTGGCTGGTTGGGAGGAAGGAGGGGTAACCTCTGTAGAGGTTTCCCCACTCTTAGGTCTGGGAGAAAACCAGAGTCCAAATACGCCCCCACCTGTGGGTGACCTCCTACTACAGCCTTTGAAATTACCCCTAGCAGCATCTGGGGACAGCAGGGTCACAGCAAAAGACAAAGCAGGGAATCATAGGTGGCTTCCTTCCCACAAGAGGGGCCATTTCACCCAGCAAGGACTGAGTGGCTTTTGTTTCCTGGACGTATCATTCATTTACCTGTCTTCTCAGCCTGGCATCTTCCCAGACACGCAGCACCTTCTCTACCGTGTGGTGTCCCTTTGCTTTGGTTACCAGGTACTGGCGAGGGTTTAGAAATATGCACGTACCTCAGCTTGGCAGGTGTTACCTCTATCAAGTGTTCGGAGACTTGGAAAGGAACGTGTAGGAGCTGAGAAACTGTCTTCATTCAACTAACGAAAGGACAGTCAAAATGCTTTTTCTAGAAAAATTAGGGAAAATGAAAGATGGGAGAAGAAATCTGGAACTAACTAGCTCAGAGGAAAAAATGTCATAGGCGCAAGGAATTGTATAATTTAGTGATGGGAGATTGTTAGGAAGGGAGCCAGAAGAGGGAGGGGGAAAAAACCAGGAATTGGCAATTCCCTGAAAAATAGCACTTAGAGAGAGAGAGGACATGCCCGCAAGCTAGCTAGCTCCTGGGGCACATAGAAATGATTAGTTTATATTCATTTTGACAGGAAAAAGGAGAATGTTGAAATAAATAAGAAAGACCCCTGAGCAACCAGCCACCACCCAGGGTAGAATAGTGGGGGCTGTGGTCAGCAGCCTGATAACACATCAGGTCTGCTGGCTTCCTCACCTGGAGCAGGCTGAGTGGATCCTCTGTGGGAATCTGCCTCTGTCAGGAAGTTCTCTTCTCCCTTCTCCCAGGTAGCAAGCTTGGGGCTAGAGCAGCTCTCAAGTCATCACCCAGCACCAAGAAGGGGAGGGAGCCAGGCCCCAGGGGGCTCCTCTTCCAAGGATAACAATTGTTTTTGTCCTACCTGCCCCCTCCCAGTCTTTGGAAACTCCTCCAGGAAACTGAATTTGGATGAGCCAGAGCCAAAATGATGAATGTGCTTTTTATCTTTCACCATCGAGAATCTCATGAATCCTGAGGTGGCTTTTGCCTTTTACTTCTCAATCTGTTTGCATTTGACCTCACATTTTGTGCACGCAGTCTTGGGAGAAAATTCCAGGGCCCTCTTCAGTCTGAGTATCTGCCTGCTTGAAAACAAGTGTCACCCCAAGATGTGCAGGGGTCTTCACAAGGGCATGACAGGAATATTACAAGAGCACTCCCTCACCCTGGCTGGGTGCTGGGGGTCACCGCCCATGCCCCCTATTTTACCTACTGTGAATATTCCAGTTGCATCTCTGTGTAGAGACTTTGGGCCTGACCTGGGCAATAGATGTGGTTTCTCTTCCTCATATCTCTCCATCTTTATGACAAAAAATGAAAAGCTTCCCATGACCGCATTTGCTCATTGTCAGCCCAGGTCAGCTCTTACTCAACTCCGTGGACAGAGCCTGGTCTGTGTCCAGTCACCGCACATCTCCTGTGACCTCTTGCACTGTTTCCAGGTCTCCAGGCTCTCCTTGGCCACAGTGCCCAGACCTGAAAGAGCAGTTTCCGCCACAAAGCAAGACTGTCTCTCCATAACACCCAACAGTGCCAGTCCTATCAGACAACACGTTAGATGGGAGGGAGGGAGAAAACCAGAGAAGCCACTGGCTCCTCGGGCTGCCCCAGGACACAGACAGACGTGGCCTAGGTAAAGAGAGAAGGACCACTGGTTGTTCCTATGAAGACTTTTAAACCAAGAAGCTCAAGTGTTAGCCAATGGGGGAATAAAAGGGAAAGGAACACTTCCGCGGACTATCCCTCAGAGACTTCTCAGATGTATAATTCCCACTTGGTGCCTCATGAAATTGCATCACTCAAATGTGTCGTTGATGTTGTGAGCTGCTGTGGAGTCAGCCCCCAACTCATGGCGATCCCATGCACAATGAAATGGTCCTGCCCCATCCCCATGATTGGTTGTGGATCAGACCATCATGATCCATAGAGTTTTCATTGGCTGATTTTCAGAAGTAGATCGCCAGGCCTTTCTTCCTAGTCTGTCTTCGTCTGGAAGCTTTACTGAAGTCTGTTCAGCGTCACAGCAACAAGCAAGCCTCCACTGACAGACAGGTGGTGCTGGCACATGAGGTGCATTGGCCAGGAATCCAACCCAGGTCTTTCATGTGGAAGTAGACAATTCCACCACTGATATTGATTGTATCGATCAGCTGCTCTTCACCTCCAGATACATCACCCTGCACGTGCACACTCACCCAGATTTGAAGCAAAACCATAATTTCACTGAGAAAGGCCTGGCAACCCATAACTCCTCCCCGTTCTTGTCAGCTGCCTACTCACATGCAAGTAAAATTGCTCCTGCAGTCTCTTTGTGGGCTGGCAGTATTGCAAAGGAAAACAAACTCATCACTCACATGTGTGTGAGTCCACCCTCCTGTTCATTACCAGGCCCTCGAGAGCATCACATTTCAGGTGGGGCTCATGCCCTGTTATGTGTTCAGTCCATGACTGGTGTCAAAAGAAACTGCTTTCAACTTTTAATTTTCTTCTCACCAGACTGTGTCCATATTTTAGTGATTTAGACTCACTACGTAGATATATGACTCTAGATGTCTTTTTTCATGGTGGACCTTTGCCATATCCACAGATCCTTAGCTTTTTTTTTTTTTTTTAACTTGCTTTATTTGTTTCAATCATATATCTTGGGTCTCTTTCTCCAAATTTTTTTTTTTTTAGTTTTACTGATTGTTTGTTGTTGAGAATATACACAGCAAAACATACAGCAATTCAACAGTTTCTACGTGTACAATTCAGTGACAGTGATTACATTCTTCCAGTTGTGTAACCATTCTCACACTCCTTTTCTGAGTTGTCCCGTCTCATTAACATAAACTCACTGCCCCCTAAGTTTCTTATCTGATCTTTGGAGTTGCAGTTGCTGTTTTCAATTCGATCCATCTTTTTAAATTCAGTTTGTTGAGGTGTACTGTGTTGCTGTTGTTGTTGGTGGTTACCATCAAGTCAGTCAGACTCAGAGAGACCCCAGGTGCAACAGAAGGAAACATTGCTCAGTCCTGCATCATCTTCACCATCTGTTGGTAAGCCCGAGTTCATTGTAGCGGCCACTGTGTATTTTGAGTGCCTTGCAATCTAGGGAGCTCGTTTTCCAGCACTATA